TCATAGCGTTCTTAAAAAAAAATACATTAAAAATCCGTTCTTAAAAAATGTGCATTAAAAATCCATGCCTCATAGCATTCTTAAAACAGTGAGCGGAGCAGTATAGTCGGACAGGGCCGATCATACGATACCCTACTCAACTACCACGGAACTCTAACTTTCTGCAGATTTTTATTCCGATTAGAGGTCAACAAAACCTCTTCCTTACACTGACATATATCCGAATATTACAGATTCCATTCACCGTGGGCTGTTTTGTGAAAAAAAAGTTTTAGCTCCACTTCATCCCAATATAAATATCTTATCATCACCGATAATTATAGGCGTTATCCTTGACCATACCTCATGGAAAATTTCACAGCGATCTGTGCTATATTTCCGCCGTCCAGTGTGTTAATGAGTTACTAAATAATATCTGAGTACGTAAGCACCTGCAAATATTTAAATGTAACTCCCACATTCGAGAACATACGACAATATAATTGGTATCAATTTAAAGGTCAAGCACTCCACTTGGATATACTATCAAGTTCTCGGGTCTATGTCCTTTTCACACAAAAATCAGTCCATTTCATCCCCTAAATAGGGGTCTTCCTTGGGTAGAATCCATCCTACATGCAATGTTCCCTGAACATTGGTCCATAATTGTGGCCTGTATCGTGTTTACAAATTATAATGGACGGACGGACACACATTTCTAGATCGACTCAGCTAGTCGAGTTATGACGATCGGTATACTTGAAGGTGGGTCTAAGTCCAATATTTCGCGGCGTTACAAACTCTTGGGGCTGCACAAAGCTATAATACCCTGACAACATAGTTGTGTGGGGTAAAATTAATTTAAAACTCGTTACTGTCAATTAGGAACAACAATGTAAAATAATTTACATAAAGATACAAGATTGTTGAATGTCATCGAATGGAATTCGATCTAAAACACGACACTAATGACATGCTAATATTGGCTGTTATAATTGAGCCAACAAAAATAAGCCAGCATCATTTTGACCTGACAGCAGCTACAATTGTGGCCAATATTGGGAAAGTGATACCAATATTGCAATCATGACATCGGTTTCAAATAAAACAAGATTATGGCAGTCGGTGTTTCATTTATTCTACACATTGGTCCTTGTAAATCCCATGGTGACGGGATCCGATGAGGTGACTAAAAGAAATCCTTTAAGGAAAAATATCTTTTAATTTCTTTGTTTATCCTCGCTTTCATTCTCTTTACACCAGAAATCCTGGACTTATGAAATAAAATCGTTGGATTATTCGACGGCGGACGAGGACATTCTAAACACCAATTTGAGTGTGGAACGTGTATCTCGTGGTGTCTATGCCTTATCTGGCTCCATTGTATTGAATATCGACATTGATGAGAATACACAATGTTATGTAATGGGCTATCAAGAATATATATTTTTCTCTTAATGAAATATTCAATTTATTATTTAAGGTGGAGGCCAGTACCTATCGCAGCGACAATGGCGTCAACGAATACAAAGTATTAGCCTTCAAAATGTCTCGCCAAAATATAATTTCGGCAATCAATGGTTTTTACAAGGAAATGTTTATGGACACATTGAGCGAATGTTCCGATCTACCTGTATTTGAAGATAAGTTTGAGCCACCGATCGAAAAAAGAGAATATACCCTTACAAAGTGCCAATTTAGTCAAGATGGATTCCCCAATCATTTGGAAGAAGGTTTTTATAAAATTCTAATATCTGGTTCTGGTTGTCTGGATTGGCATTTCGCCGTTATTGTTGAAGTGGAAGCTACAAATTAAATAGGTTTCTTACTTTGATTTGCAAAATAAAGAAAATGTTAAAACTAAAAATTGAAAATTCTACGATTATTGGTATTTAAAAATATAATTTTAGTCCAATACTATTTCATCAATGATAACTTTTTTCACTTTATTGACCCTTAAGAAAAATTGACGTTCAAATGGTTTATGTCTTTTAAGTTGTTTTGAACATTTGCATTATAAGGAGCCATGTTGCTTGAAAAAATATTCTCTCCAATGTCACGTATTCACATTTCGACTCATCTCCGCTGACAATTTTAATATAGACTCCACATAAGGTGGGCGGTGTAAAAATTCTACTCACTTTTGCATTTGTGGATCTTGAAAATTCATGCTATACCTAAATACAAATTTCACGAAATATTGCCCAGGCTCGCAATAAACATCCGCAGAAAGTTTGATTTCCGTGGTAGTTGTGTAGGGTATCGTATGGTCGGCCCCGTCCGACTATACTGCTCCGCTCACTGGTTTTAGAAATATTTTGAAAAATACACGTTTCTTTTATTCTCTAAATATATATTCTTCAAAAATACACGCTTCTTTTATTCCTTGAATATATATTCTTCAAAAAATCCACGCTAGTACTTGAATAACAAAAATCTACGCTTCTTTTAGTCACTGAATATATGGAAGCTATATACCTATCCTTCTTTTAGTCCTTGGAAAAATATACTTTGGGAGATATATCTACATCTGAACCTATTTCAACAAACGGATGTGAACCTGTAGTAACTACAAAACAGTATGCAAAAATTTGGCTTAATAGGATAACATTGACAGTACGGTGAACCGAATCCAACAAAACTTCGCATACATTAATCTGGGCCTAATTCGGTACGCTGTACAAAATTTTGTCTCAATTGGACCAATAATGGAAGTTTGCATAAAATCGGACGAAGCTATATATGGGAGCTATATACTAGGGATACGTAGTCCAGCGCAAAAGTCGACTTGTAGACTTTTCGAATTTGCTTCTGAATAAAAAGTCGATTTTTAGACTTTTCGATTTTTGCCTTTGACTAAAAAGTCGAATTTTCGATCTTTCGATTTTGAATTTATGAAGAAAATCGAATGTCGATCTTGAAAAGTAGACTTTGCGATTTTCTCAAAGGTCAAAAGTCGACTTCGACTTTTAGACTTTTTAATACAAAAAGTCGATTAATTGATTAGTCGAAAGCCGATTTACTTATCCCTACTATATCTGAATCTGAACCGATTTTCTCCAATTTGCCCAAATAAGTGACATGTGGCAAATTTCATCCAAATCGAATCATAAATGCGACTTGTACATTGTTCACAAAAATACATGGACGGACGGACGGACAGACAAACGGACATGCATAAATCGACTCAGTAGGTGATTCTATGCATATTCTCAAAAGATACCATGTATCTATCTCGTTTTCTGTTACAAACATATGTACATAGACGTAATACCCTGTACCACATTGTGGTGAATGGTATAAAACATCGCGTAATTATTGTTTCAAATCAGGGCTTAAATAATACCATTAAAATTGCCTTACCATTAACCAGAATTGTAATACAAGTGCGAACACGAATATGTTTGGTTTAACTAACAAGATAAACGAATTTATAAACAAGAATGTGGCATGTCATCGAATAGATTGTGATGTAAAACATGGCTAACTTACAAGATGCTAATTGTTATCATACACCATGCTATTAAAACCGGCCACTAAATATAAGCTTAGAATCAGTTTGAACTGACAGCAGTTGGAAGGGTAGCCAGCGTTGGAAAAGTGTAATAATACAATAAAATTGGTGATTATGGTATTGGATTTAAGTAAAACAGGATTATGGCAGTTGGTATTTTATTTACTCCATAAATTCCTCTGGTAAATACCATGGTACCAGGAACAAATGAGGTAACTTAAGAAAAACATCCTTCAAGGAGGACAAGAATAAAAAAAATCCACCATAGCAATACGTGTTACTAACTGAACCAAGTGTAACA